TTTAGGAAGTAAAATCCATAAGACTTAGTGATTAACTGCCTATGAGAGGTGAGAGAAAGAAATGCAAAAGTCTTGGCTTTTTATTAATTGACAGATGGAGGAAACCACAGTTAAAACTCTTTCAGAGGAGATATACTGAACTTTCTACTGCTCATCTGTCAGTTTATTGTATTGTGGTGGCTTGTGTGCTGTGAGGTTGAAGGCTATGCCACCAGTATTTCAAATACCAGCAGGGTCATGCTTGATGGACAGGTTTCAGTGGAATTTCCAGCCTAAGACAGACTGGAAAGAAGGATGGGGCCATCCACTTCTGAAAAAAAGTTGTTCACTGAAAACCTTATGAATAGTAGTGAAATACTGTCTGATATATTACTGGAAAACTCTCTGAAGAGCAGTAAAACATTGTCTGGTATAATGCAGAAATATAAGCCCCTCAAGTTGGAAGGTACTCAAAATACAACTGGGGAACAGCTGCCTCATCAAAGCAGAACTGACCTTAATGGTGTAGATGGAGTAAAACTTTTGGAACCTTCATTTGCTGATGGGGCATGACTCAAAATGGGAAGAAACAGCTGCAAACATTCCTTAATAATCAGACATGGAGTGTACAAAGCACGGATCTAAGAAAATTGGAAGCTGTGAAAAATGAAATGGAATGCATAAAGATCAATATCCTAGGCATGTTGTTGTTGTTGTTGTTATGTGCCATCGAGTCGGATCTGACTCATAGTGATCCCTCCTGGGGTTTCTGAGGTGGTATCATTATGGAAGTAGATTGTCCAACCTTCCTTCTGAGGAGTGACTGGTAGGTTTGAACTGCCAGCCTTCTGGTTAGCAGTCAAGTGCCTTAGGCACTACTCTACCAGAGGCAAAACTGAGCTAAAATGGACTGGTGTTAACCATTTTGAATCAGATGATCATATGGTCTACTATATCAGGAATGACACATTCTTCATCAAAAAGAACATGTCAAGATCTGTCCTGAAGTAAAATGCTGTTGTCAGTGATAGGATGGTATCCATGTACCTACAAGGAAGACCAGTTAATATGACTATTATTCAAATTTATGTACCAACCACCAAAGTGAAATATGATTTTTACCAACTTCTGCAGTCTGAAATTGACCAAACATGCAATCAAGATGTTTTGATAGTTACTGGTGATCAGAATATGAATATTGAAAACAAAGAAGAAGCATTGGTATTTGGAAAATATGGCCTTGGTGATAGAAATGATGCCAGAGATTGTATGATAGAATTTTGCAAGATCAGCAACTTATTGGTTGCAATACCATTTTTTCAATAATACAAACAGCAGCTATACACATGGACCTCACCGGATGGAATACACAGAAATAAAATCAACTACATCATTGGACAATGAATAAGGAAGACCGAAGAAGAGTTGATGCTTTTGAGTTGTGGTGCTGGCGAAGAATGCTGAAAGTACCATGGACTGCTAAAAGAACTAACAGATCTGTCCTGGAGGAAGTGCAGCCAGAATGCTCCTTGGAGGCAAGAATGGCCAGACTTTGTCTCACCTATTTTGGTCATGTTGTAAGGAGGGACCATTCCCTGGAGAAGGATGTCATGCTTGGTAGGGTGGAGGGTCGACGAAAGAGGGGGAGGCCTTCAACGAGATGGATTGATATGGTGGCTGCAATGATGAGCTCAAATATAGCAGGGATTGTGGGGCTGGCACGGGATAGGGCAGTGTTTCATTCTGCTGTGCATGGGGTCGCTATGAGTCGGAAACGACTCGACGGCACTTAACAACAACAACAACAACAACAACAACATCTGTGGAAATAGGCAACAGAGAAGCTCAATATCATCAGTCAAAACAAGGCCCAGAGCTGACTGTGGAACAGATCATCAATTGCTCTTACAAGTTCAAGTTGAAGCTGAAGACAATTGAAACAAGTCCACAAGAGCCAAAATACAGCCTTGACTATATCCCACCTGAATTTAGAGACCATATGAAGAATAGATTTGTGAACACCAATGACAGAAGACCAGACGAATTGTGGGATACCATTAAGAACATCATACATGAAGAAAACAAAAGGTCATTAAAAAGACAGGAGAGGAAGAAAGGACAAAAATGGATGTCGGAAGAGACTCTGAAACTTGCTCTTGAAAGTAGAATAGCTCAGGACCATAGTATTGGGGGACACCAGATTCAATTGGCACAACATAATACATAAAAATCTTGTTCCACAACCTACTTTGGTGAGTAGCAACTAGAGTCTTAAAAGCTCCTGAGCAGCCATCTAAGATGCAGCTCAAGGTCTCCTCCATTGGAAGTGAAGAAGAGTGAAGAAAACCACGGACATTTGGAAACAATCAGCCCTAGTATATGATGGACCTTGAGACCAGAAGAACTAGATGGTGCCTGGCTATCAACACCACCCACTCGGGAAGGGATCAAAACTGGAGATCCTGGATAGAGTGGGAGGAAAAGTGTGGAACAAAATTAAAAACCACAGTAATTACCAGAATTACTGGTCGGATGGAGTCTGGTGGGACCCTCAAGACTATGGGCCTGGGATATCCTTTGGGCCTGGGATAAAACTCACTCCCAAAGGTTGGCTTTCAGCCCAACAGTAGTAAGACTTACATGCAGAACACCCAACCCAGGACAATGCACCCACCTACTCTATGGAGATACATCCCCTGGAGCAAGCAGCCATAGGGCACCAGAGGGACAACATTCACATGGAGGAAAAGCTGGACAGACAGGAGTATGCAACTAAGAAGGGGACAGGGATGGGGGGGGTCACTGGGAAGGGAGAAGAGGAGAGTGGGTTAGGGTTGGGGATGGTAACTAGGGAGTGAAACCAAATGTACATGAGCTGGTGAATGTAAAATTCTGCTCTATAAATTTGCACCCACAACACAATTAATAAAAAAAGAAGTAGAAGAAAGAAAGTAGAGTAGCTAAAGCAAAAGGAAGAAATGATGAAAAAAAGACCTGAACAGATTATTTTAAATGGCAGCTTAGAAGACAAAGTAAAGTATTACAATAAAATGTGCAAAGACCTGGAATTAGAAAACCAAAAAGGAAGAACATGCTCAGCATTTCTCAAGCTAAATAATCTGAAGAAAAAAATGAAGCCTCAAATTGCAGTATTGAAGGATTTTATGGGGAGAATATTGAATGATGCAGGAAGCATCAAAAGAAGATGGAAGTAATACAGAGTCACTGTACCAAAAAGAATCGGTTGACATTCAACTATTTCAGAAAGTAGCATATGATCAAGAACCAGTGGCACTGATGGAAGAAGCCCAAGCTGCACTGAAGGAATTGGTGAAAAACAAGGCTCCAGGAATTGATGGAGTACTCATTGAGATGTTTCACCAAATGGATGCAGCACTGGAGGTGTTTACTCATTTACATCGGGAAATTTTATGTGTGGCTAACCGATTGGAAGAGGTCCATATTTGTGCCCATCCCAAAGAAAGATGATCCAAAAGATATTATCAGTAATATCACATGCAAGTAAAATTTTGCTGAAGATAATTAAAAAATATTTGGAGCAATATATTGACAGGGACCTTCTAGAAATGCAAGCTGGATTCAGAAGAGGACATGGTCTGAGAGATACTAATGCCAATATCAGATGGATCTCAGCTGAAAGCAAGAAATACCAAAAAGATGTTTGCCTGTGATTTATTATGCAAAAGTATCTGATTGTGTGGATCATAACAAATTATGGGTAACATTGTGAAAAATGGGAAATCCAGAATAGTTAATTGTGCTCATGAGGAATTTCTACGTAGACCAAGAGGCAGTTGTTCAAATGGAACCTGGCAATACTGTATGGTTTAAAACCAGGAAGTGTGTGTGTCAGGGTTACTCAATCTGTATGCTGAGCAAATAATCTGAGAAGTTGTACTATATGAAGAAGAATGTGGCATCAGGACTGGTGAGAAGACTCATTAAAAACCTGTGGCACAATCTAGCTTGCTGAAAGGGAAAATCACTTGAAGCATTTACTGGTGCAGATCAAATACTACAGTCTTCAGTATGGATTACACCTCAACATAAAGAAGCCAAAAATCCTCACAACTAGACCAATGAGCAATATCACAACAAATGGAGAAAAGATTGAAGTTGTCAATAATTTCATTTTATTTAGGTTCACAATCAACACCCATGGAAGCATCAGTCAAAAAAATCAGACATCCTATTGCACGGGCAAATCTGCTGCACAAGACCTCTTTGAAGTATCAAAGAGCAAAGATGTGACTTTGAAGACTCAGGTGCACCTAACCCAAGCCATGGTGTTTTTAATTGCCCCATATGCATGTGAAAGATGGACAGTAAATAAGGAAGACTGAAGGTGAATTGATGTCTTTGAATTGTGGTGTTGGTGAAGAATACTGAAAATACCATGGACTGCCAGGAGAATGAACAAACCTGTCCCAAAAGGAGTGCAGCCACAATGCTCCTCAGAAGCAAGAATGGCCAGACTTCATCTCACCTACTTCTGTCATGTTGTCAGAAAGGATCAGTCCCTGGAGACACGTATCATCTTGGCAAAGTGGAGTGTCAGCAAAAAAGAAGACCCTCAGCAAGATGGATTGACACAGAGCTCTGACGATGGGCTTAAGCATAACAAGTATTGGGAAGATGGTGCAGGCCCGGGCAGTGTTTCACTCTCTTGTACATAGGGTCACTATGAGTCAGAATTGACTTGACAGCACCTAACAACAACAACACATTGAACTTTATAACTTCCTTTCTTTCTTACCATTGTTGAGCAGGATATGGTTTGTGTTTTGAAAAGTCTTCACTCCTTTATTAGGGGAGTTTGGGTTATAATGGCTGGAGAGTGTTGCTACAAGGAAAGGTAGAGCAAGCAAAGAGCAAGTCTACATTCCTGAAAATATAGAATCCAAAACTCCCTGCCATAATGTCACACTGCAAATAGCCCTCTGGAGCCCTGCAGCTCTAGTTTCTGGTACAGTCCTGCTACTTGGAAAAGGTCAACTTACCTACGACATTGAGTGACATTGTGTTACTGTTCTGAGCTCCCACATCATTGTCAGCTGTGCAGTGGTAGTTCCCAGAATGCTCTTCAGTCAGAGAAAAGCTGAAGGATGTCCCTCCTCCAGAGGGGGCCGAGCTGTTCCTCAGGATGCCATCCTTGTGGTAGAATCGGTACAGGATTGGGGGCGAGCCTCTCTGGGCCTCGCAGTGAAGCTCCACCACATCCCCCACCACAGCCTGGGCCCTGGGAGACTTGAGTGTGAGGACTGGGTGAGACAATGGAACTGAGGGAGGAAATAAGTTAGCAGATTTTTTAATTAAAAAGAAAAAAATGAGAGAGGTGCCTCATTAAAAATAAATTCAAAACCAAACTCTATAGCGTTGCATAACATAAAAATTCAAAGTTCTCTCATCTTCTTTATTTCCATTTTCCAGTGATTGCTTCTGTTGACTATTTGGTAGTAGTTTCCAGATACACACATTGTTGCTGTTGTTATGTGCCTTTGAGTCGTCCCCACTCATAGCAACCCCTCCTTGGGTTTTCGAGGCAGTATCACTACAGAAGTAGGATTGCCCAACCTTCCTTCCAAGGAGTGGCTGATGGGTTTGAACCGCCAGCCGTCTGGTTAGCAGGCAAGTGTCTTAGACACTATGATACCAGAGCACCCATATCCATATATAAATAAATGAGACACCTGCATGGGGTTATGATATACATATTGATCTACAAGCAGCATTTTCCTCTTTGTAGCATATCGTAAATATTTTTCTATGGCCTTACTCATTCCTTCTTTTAAATTAAATTTGTGGAGGTATAATTTACATACAATGAGATACAATAATCCTAAATGTACAATATGATGATTTTTGATAAACTTTATTCAATTACTTTAACAACAAAGCATTTCATTGTATGGGTTTACCAATTCCTTATTAGTGGAAGTTTAGATTGATTTTTTTCCCCCATAATACTTCATTAAACAACCCCATAGATTGTGCATTGTGCATTTCTGCATTTTTTAGGATAGATTCTTAGAAGTGGAGTTTCTGGAGCAAGGAATATGGGCTTTTTAAATGATGATATATAATGCTAAATTGTTCTTTGGAAAGGATGAACCAATTTACATTTGCATTAATTGTATATAAGAGTTCCTATTTCCCCACTCCCTAGTCAGTTATAGTCAGTGGTTTATTTTAATTTAATTACCCTCTTTCCCTTGTCTTGGCCTCTATAGTTGCTCCGTCTGAACTATTCACTCATTCTATTTTATGTGACCTCACAGCCTCCTAGTTAATTTTTCATGGACAGCTAGTGAACTATAGCCCATTAGTGATGAATTACTGTCTGTAGAGTACTCAGAAATAATTTCCAAATGGAAATATTGAAATCTGTCATTAATTTTTAAAAAATTTTCAAGTCAATTCTTTTTTATTCCCCATTATGTAATAATACCATCACTTGTCTGTCAGTTTGTCATACTGTGGTGGCTTGTGTGTTGTTGTTAGGCTGGAGGCTATGCCACCAGTATTTCAAATGCAAGCAGGGTCACCCATGCTGGATGGGTTTCAGCAGAGCTTCCAGACTAAGTCAGACTGGGAAGAAGGACAGGGCCATACACTTCTGAAGGAATTGGCCACTGAAAACCTTATCAATAGCAGTGAAACACTGTCTGATATATTACTGGAAAGATTGTGAGGATAAGGCAGGATTGGACAGTGTTTAGTTCTGTTGTACATAGAGTCACTATGTACCCTATGAGTCAGAGCCTACTTGACAACACCTAACAACAACAACAATGCAATAATAATTATAAGGAGCTCTGGTTAAGGGCTTGGCTGCTAATTTAAAGGTCTGTGGTTCAAACCCACTGCAACTCCACAAGAGAAAGACCTGGTGATCTGCTCCTACAAAGATTACAGTGTAGGGAACCCTATGGGGCAATTCTACTCTATTACATGGGGTCACTATGAGTTGGAATCAACTGGATTGCACAAAACAACAATTCAATAATGATGATGAAGAGAAAATTGTTGTTTTACTTCCTCTCCTCCCTCTGACTAACTGATATTTTTCTTAGTTACGTATATTTTTTACATTTTTAGTTTTTATAATAGTTACTTTCTATTCTATAACTATAATTCTTGTGGTTGATTAGCTTCTGTTTCTATATCAAAATTAGTGGTTTTTAACCAAATTTGTACAATATTCTTACCTGAGGAAGGGCTAAAACTTACTGATTCAGGAGCCCTCTTCAGAGACTTGCCATTGATCTGGACTAGACTGCATAATTACTCAGAACAATTGTTTTGGGAGTAAGTCACATGGCATCAGCAGTTGAGGCAGAAGCTGAAAGAGTGAGAAGTCAGCACCCAGAATCCCAATGCAGTAGATGCTGGGGTTAGCAGAAGCTATGAGTAAACAAAAGTCATGAGGTTGAGGGAAGAAGAGTGGAAAGCAGTTAGGAGAAGCAAGGGAACAAGGGCAGGAGGACAAAGAAAATAGTTGTTGGACACAGCAGTAGGAGTTGGTGGACGTGGGTCATAGGTCGCTGTTGTCAAGAACTTATTTTGAGAAACACTCTGTTTTCAGATATTTCTCAGTTCTTCTTCCATGAATCTGGCTATACTCTCTTTCTTAACATGCCCACATGCACTAGGGACACCTGAGTGGGTCTTTGCTTTCTTGTGGTGTAAAACATACTGAAGGACCTGACTCAAGACTTTTTTATCCTTCCTTTCTCTTTCTCTTTAAAGAAAATTGGGCATTCACTCTCTTCTAAATGAAGATCCAAGAGTAAACCAAAATAATTTCTCTCTTAAAATGAAACTTTTTGGATGGCTACATGATTAACCAGGAGCTTTGGTAGCATAGTGCTTAAGGCACTTGATGCTAACCAGAAGGCTGGTGGTTCAAACCCACCAGCCACTCCTCCGAAGGAAGGTTGGGCAATCTACTTCCATAGTGATATCACCTCAGAAACCCAAGGAGGGGTCACTATGAGTCGGGCTAGACTCGACAGCACATAACAACAACAACAACATGATTAACCACAAGCTGTACACTTATGACTTACACTTTCTTAAATGTATATTATATGTCAAAAAAGTTAAAAAAAATAATAAAATGATATTTATTTTAATGCCTTAGAAGACAAGGAATCAATGAAACCTTGGCAAAACAAAGATCTGGTTTCCAGGTAGCTCTCTTCTCTGTTCCCTTCACCTTTAGCCCTTTTCAAGTCTACTGTGAGGATGCTTGCTGCTTGAGAACTCTGAGGAGAAACTGACGTTTTGCCCAATTGTTGTCCACGTGACTGTGCTTATGGCTAAGTTAATATGTAAGTGTTAGTGTGCAAGTATGAGATGTTTCTGTGTATCAGGTTAAGAAAAATTGGCTTGGGGACCGAATATTTCCTGGTATAAAGGCATGAGAAGACAGTTTGAGAAGATAAATTCATTTAGTAAAAGCTGGTGAGTTTACGGAGCTTTCTTAGGAGTCTAGCTGAGCCCGGGCTAAAGGAGGACTGAGGCCCATAAGCAGCCAGTTTGCTGAGAAGGGGAGCCAAGAGGTGGATTAGATTGATGAGGGTAGGCAACTGGAAGGTACATGTAGACTCCTGAAGGAGTCAGTGTAAGAAAGATCTGGGACAAGGATGAGTGAATTCAGGACTTACCAGTGACAAAGAGGCTCACGGCCTCACTGCGCTGGGGCCCCTGGCCATTGTCTGCTGAGCAGAAGTAGTTCCCAGAATGCTCTGCAGTCAGAGACAAGCTGAAGGATGCTCCTCCTTCATAGGGATTAGAGTGGCTCCCCAGAATGACACTCTCATGATAAAACTGGTACAGGATATGGGGAGAGCCTCTCTGGGCTTTACAGTAAAGTGTCATCAAGTCTCCTTCAAGAACTCGGGCCCCAGAAGGCCTGAGGGTGAGGACAGGCTGAGACACTGGAACTAGGAAGAAAACAAAAAAATTAGTCAACAATTACTTCTGCTTCTTACAGTAGGTTTTAATCAGTGACCTGCCCCCACTAGAACCTGAGAGTGGCCCAGGCTCTTACCACTTTCTCTCCAGTGCTGCATGCTGGCCATTTTGTTTTTTCCTTTTCCATCAGCCCTCTACCAAACCCTAGTGACACAGTGGTTAAAACATTTGGCAGCTTACCATAAAGTCAGTTTTTTGAGTCTACCAGCCACTACATGGGGGAAAGATGAAGCAGTTGGCTTCCACAAAGACTTACATCCTCGGAAAATCTATGGGGCAGTTCTAATCTCTTCAGTGGGCTCAGTATGAGTCAGAATCCACTTGACAGCAGTGGGGTTTTTTTTTGGGGGGGAGGGTTATCAGACCTCTAGCCACTCCTCCTTTCCTGTGTCTCCTCGTTAGATAGACTTACCCACATTTCTCTAAGAAAAATAATGCCCTTGGAGACAAAGCCTGTTATCACACTGCCACCAGAACTACACCCTTACTTGAATCAGCTCCTTCCTCCTCTCTGAGCTGTGACTGTGGAAGAGCTTCTGTTCCTTCTGCCATAGGTTAAATTCAGTGGGTATCACTTAGTTCTTCTCTATTACTCTCTATTTCTTTCAGCTCTGCCTTATCTGATTTGGCCCACAATTTTTTTTTGCTGTAAATTCCTCCTTCCCTTGGTTTCTGTGGTACACAATCTCCTAAATTCTTGTCTTCTCACAGTCACTGTCCTTTTCAGTGCCCTTCTTTCTTAGCTGGGACTGGCTTTGGGGTCCTATCTCACTGGACATTCTCTTCCTGAGCCCTCTCCTCTGCTCCTTGCTGCTCTCCACACTTGCTCTTCTACAGTTCGTTCTTTATAACTCAGGTGATCTTTCACAGCGTTAAAACTTTTCATGCACCCCAGTTATCCTTTGGCATAAAGCCCAAATGCTGACCATTGCTTCTAAAACCATTACTTGGCTCTGCCTTTCTCCCCAACCTCATCCCTACCTGTCCCAACCATTTCACTCTATGCTGCAGTCAACATGAATTGACTTCCTACCTGAACATGTCCTCCTTTCTTCACCAGAGGACCTTAGCACATGCCTTTCCCTGGAACACAGCTTCTTTCTCCCCTTCCACTTGTTGCTGTTACATGTACCAAATTGGCCCTCCACGCCAACTCATCGAAACTCCAAGCACAGTGGAAAGAAACACTGCCCAGTTCTGTGCCATCAGACCGTTGTGAGACAGGGTATTGTCATTGGCTGATTTTTAGAAATATACCCCCAGGCCTTTCTTCCTATTCTATCTTGGTCTGAAAGTTCAGCTGAAATCTGTTCAGTGTCATAGCAATACCCAAGACATCTGATAGATGACAAGTAGTGGCTGCCAATGAAGTGTCTTGGCCAGATTCAAACTTGTTCCCCTACATTGTCAAAGTCAAGAATTCTACCACTGAGCTACAACTGTACTTTCCCACACAGTCCTCCTTTTCCTGAAATATTCTCACTCACCCTTAGGTCTCAATTCACACATGAACTCTTCCAAGAAATTTCCTCTCACCACCCTACTCTGATAGGGGTGTTCTCCTCTTTGCTCCCACAAACACTGATGCTTCTTTCCCTCAGATTGGTGTTTAGCCTTTACTCATCTGCATTTACCAGTAGACCTCAAGAACTGCACAGACAGGGTCTATTTTGTTCTAGCCTGATGGATCCCCAGACCCCAGTATGGCCTGGCTTATGGCATATACACAATAATTATTGCTTGGTGAACAAATGAGCTCTTGTATAGAATTTTATATATCTCTAAATGTGTACAATATACAATGATATCATTTTCTTGGCCCTCTGCATGCTAGGAGTCCAGCTTCTCACTCTTTGATTTGATGTCTGTCTCCAGAGTTCCCTGACCTTTTCTATTATAATCCTATATATCTACTGTGGGACTTACAGGCTTGTCTTCCATTGTGTCTCTGTTGTTTTGCAAGAGAGGGAATTGAGGCTGTTTTCAGGTCCAGCCCTATATCACACCGTCTCCCTAAAATTGGGCATGGATTTGGCCAACCATGGATGGCACAAAACTGAGATTCAAGCCTCAACTGAAATCATTTCCATTTTATAACTATTAAGGATCTCTGGTGGCATAGTGTCTAAGGCACCTGACTACCATTCCATGGAAGGAAGACTGGACAATCTACTTCTGTAGAGATTTACCACCTAGGAAACCCAAAGAGGGTGGTTATGAGTCAGAATCGACTCGATGGCAGTGAGTTTGCTTGTTTTTTAAATAACTCTGGTAGCTAGTGCCTAAGGCACTTGACTGCTAACCAGAAGGCTGATGGTTCAAACCCACCAGCCACTCCTTGGAAGGAAGGTTGGGCAATCTACTTCCATAGTGATACTGCTTCAGAAACCCAAGGATGGGTCACTATGAGTCAGGGCCGACTTGACGGCACATAACAACAACAACAGCAACATTGGGCAACTAGCTTAATGGCTTTTAGGACATTAAGCTCAGCAAGCAGAGGTGAAGTAGTTTCTGGCTTCCTTAGGCTATCTCCTGCCCTGCTTCCAGGCTCTCCCCTAAAGGTGCCCCTCCCCACACACACTGTTGCTTTTAAGACTCTGGAAATGGTTTTCCACTAACTAAGACTTTTTTTGGGTTATCAGACCTCTGGCCACTCCTCCTGTGTCTCCTCATTAGATAAACTTACCCACATTTCTCTGAGAAAAATAAAGCCCTTGTTATCATGCAAAAGTCAACTTTTGCTTCTGCTTACTGTAGGTTCCAACTAGTGGCTTCATAATATGAACTAACTGTGATCTACTTACCTATTTTTGTACTTATATGGCTTTTCACACTGCTAATTATCAATGTCTGATACTAAATGGATAAATGAATAGGAGGAGCCTCTGTACCCTTGTAACTGATTGTGTAGCTACTGAAAACAATGAAATGAGTGAATATCAGGCATCTGAAGATTCAAAGGACAAGTGGAGAGAAAGAAAAAAGCATTTGTGTTGCTGGGAGGTGGCGCCAGTACAGAGGGAACTGCTATGCAGATAGTCAGGGTGTAATGGCACTTTGGCTATACAAAGAAGGAGGCCCAGAGTAGGCAAATAGTTCATCAGTAAACGAAGAGGTTGTAAAGGAAATTGGGTTGTGTTTTGGTTACCTAGTGTCGCTCTGACAAGAATATACCACAAATGGGATGGCCTTAACAAACAGAAGTTTATTCTTACAATTTGGAGGCTTTAAGCCCAAGTTCAATGTGCCAGGCTCTAGGGGCTGGGTGAAAGCCCCTCACCCTTGGGGTCCAGCTCTGCCTCCTGCTCTCAGCCCGCTGGAGCAAGAGGCATTTCTTCACTCAGACAGCTGCTGAGGCTGAGAAGCCGCAAGGTTGACAAGTAAAAAGGCACAGTCCTGATATTACCAAAGCACATGGCAGGCCATTAATTTAAGTCCATTGTAAGTCCCAAGATTGGCAGAGCATACCAGGCTGCTGAGCACTGACATGGCTACATGCAGGGTCCAAGTGTGCCATAGGCTAGAGACCATTCTCGAAACTTCTGCTTATATACAGGACGCAGACCATATACCCAAAGGCAGCTACTCAGCTGCTCCCAGTAGATTCCACCATGGAGTTGATTGCCGGTCTCTTCATTGGGGAATAACTACCACCAGCTGTCCAGCCACTCAATCAGGCCCAGCCAAGTTGACACACAAACATAACCATCACAGGCTGATGCGAGGAAGAAGCAGAGGAAACTGGAAGGTGTGAACACACTTCTGAAAGGATGAGTGTGAGAAGTAACTGGCTAGAGATGAGTGATGGAAATAGGAACCCAGAACTTACCCCTGATGTCAAGGCTGAGTGCCTTACTGAGCTGAGTCCCCAGTTCATTTTCAGCAGAGCAGTGGTATTTTCCAGAATGTTCTGAGGTCAGATGGAGGTTGAAGGAAATTGTTCTGCTTGAAAAGACTTGTGTCTTCTCCAGGATAATATTTTCATGATATAACTGGTACACGATGGGGAGAGAGCCCCTCTGGGCTTCACAGTAAAATGTCACTATGTCTCCCTCAAAAGCCTCTGTTTCAGATGGCCTGAGGGTGAGGACAGGCTGAGACACAGGGACTGAGGAAGAGAAAAAATTAGTCAACAGTTGCTTCTGCTTCTTCCCGTAGATTTCAATCAGTGGCCAGTGTAATTTCAGTCTCCAGTCTCTACTAGTCCCTCAAGGTAGCCCAGGACCCTACAGCTCTCTGTTGTGGTTTGTGGTCCATGCTGGCCATTTTGTCTTTCATTTCTCATCAGACCTCAAGCCTCTCCTCCTCTCCATGTCTTCTCATTAGATATTCTCACCTCCCTGTTTCTCAAGGAAAATGAAGGCCTGAGATTCTACCCCTTACCTTGCTGCCACCAGACCTACAGCCTTACCTCTACCAGCTCCTTCCTTCTTTTCTCTGAACCCTGACTGTGGGAAAGCTTCCCCTCCTTCTGCCAGAAGTTAAATTCAGGTAGGACCTGGTTCTTGTCTATCAACATCTCTCAGCTCTGCCTTCTCTGATATGGTCTACTATTTTTTACTGAACACACTCTCTCTTCCCTTGTTTTCTGGGTACAACATTGTATTTGTTTCTTGTCCTCTCTCATCCATTGTCCTCAGTGCCCTTTCATTTCACCTGCGATGGGGTTTTGGGTCCTGCCTGATTGGACACTCTCATCCTGGGCCCTGTCCTCTGCTTGTAGCTGCTCTCCATACTGGCTTTTCTACACTTTGTTCTTTACTCTACTGGGTGAATGATCTTCTTCAGCATTAAAACATTTCATGTACCCCAGTTACCTTTGGAATAAAGCTCAAACCCTGACCATTGCTTCCAAAGCCTGTGTGGCCTTGTCCTGCCCCCCTCCTCAACCTCATCCCTACATGTCTCAACCATTTCACTCTATGCTGCAGTCAACATGAATTGACGTCCTATCTGAACATGTCCTCCTTCCTTTACCATAACACTTTAAGCACATGCTTCTCCCTGGAACATACCAAGCACTGGTGGTACAGTAATTAAGGCATTTGGCAAGCCAAAGAGTTCAAATCGACTGGCTGCACTGTGGGAGAACAATGAGGCAGTCTGTTTCCATAAAGATTGAAAGCCTTAGAGACCCTATCTGGAACTTCTACTCTGTCCTAAAGGTTAACTATGAATCAGAATCAACTTGATGGCAGTGAGTTTGTTTGTTGATTGGTTTTGGTTCTCCCTGGAACATAGCTCCTTTCCTCTCCCTCACTTATTTTTGTCAGCTTGCCAAGGAGTAGACCCCTCCCCTGACTCGTGGTGACCCCGTGCACAATGAAAAGAAACACTGCCCAGTCCTGTGCCATAAGACTATTGAAAACATAAGATTTTTAATGGCTGGTTTTTGAAGTATGTCTCCAGGCCTTTCTTCCGACACCTTAGACTGAAATTTCTACTGAAACTTGTCATTGTGATTACAAAGCACAAGACATCACTCACTGATAGACAGGTAGTTAGTGACTGTCCATGAGGTACATTGGGCAGATTCATACTTGGTTCCCCACATTGTCAAAGTTAAGATTTCTACCATTGAAGTACCTCATTGTAGTACTGATTGTGTAGCTACTGCGAACAATAAAATGAATGAAAATCAGGCATCTGTGGATTCAAAGGACGATGGAGAGAAAGAAATAAGCTTTTGTTTTGCCACAAGCTAGGGCCAGGAGAGAGGGAGTTGCTATTCAGACAGCCAGGGTGTGATGGCACCTTGGCTGCATAAGGAAGGAGGCCCAGAGAACTCAAATAGTTGTTCAGTGCATAGGAAGGTTTGAAGGGCATTGGGTTTACCCTAGGAAGAATTAGAGGAAACTGGAAGGTGTAAACAAATTTCTGACTGGGTCAGTGTAAGAAGTAACTGGCTAGACATGAGGGAGGGAAAGAGGAACCCAGGACTCACCCAAGATGGTAAGGCTGACTGTAGTACTGTGTTGCACTCCTTGTCCATTTTCAGCAGAGCAGTGGTATTTCCCAGAATGTTGTGAAGTTACAGAGAGGTGGAAGGAAACTGGTCCCCTCCGAAAGACTTGTATCTTATACAGGGTGACATTCTCATGATGCAAGTGGTACAGGATGGGGAAAGAGCCTCTCTGGGCTTCACAGTAAAATGTCACCTTGTTTCCCTCAAAAGTCTTGGTCTCAGAAGGGTTGAGGTAAAGCATTGGCTGAGACACAGGAACTAAGGAAAAGAAAAAAAATAATCAACAGTTACTTCTGCTTCTTACTGTAGGTTTCAATCAATGGCCAGTGCAAAGTCAGTCTCCAGTCCCCACTGGTCCCTCAGGGTTGTTCAGGACCCTACAGCTCTCTGCCCTGTTGTCCATGCTGGTCAGTTTGTCTTTTCCTTTCCTATCAGACCTCTGGCCCATCCTCCACTCCTTTGTCCCCTTGATAGACGACCTCACCTCCCTGTTTTTCAGAGAAAATGAAGCCCTCAGAGATTCTTCCCCTTGTCTCTCTGTCACTAGACCCACAGCTTTACCTGCATTAGCTCTTTCCCCCTTCTCGCTGACCTGTGACTGTGGAAGAGCTTCCCTCTCTTTCTTTCAGAAGTTAAATTCAGTAGGTAGGTCTTAGTTCTTCTGTATCATCATCTCTCAGCTCTGCCTTATCTGATCTGGCCCACTATTTTTTGCTGAAAACACACTCTGTCCTTCTTTTCTGTGGTACATACTCTCCTTGTTTCTTGTCTTCTGTCAGACACTGTCCTTTGAAGTGCCCTTTCTGTCTCAGCTTGGACTGGCTTTGGGGTCCTGTGTAACTGGACATTCTCTTCCTGTGCCCTCTTCTCTGCTCCTAGTTGCTCTCCACACTGGCTCTTCTACAATTTATTCTTTACTCTTCTGCTCATGTGATCTTCTCCAGCATTAAAACCTTTCATGCACCCCAGTTACCCTTTGGAGTAAAGCCAAAACCCTGACAATTGCTTCCAAAGCCTGTGTAACCTGGCCTTGCCACCCTTCCCAACGTCATCCCTACCTGTCCCAACCATTTCACTCTATGCTTCTGTCAACATGAATTGACTTCCTTCATGACCATGTCCTCTTTCCTTCACCACAAGACTTTAGCACATGCCTTTCCCTGGAACACATCCTCTTTCTCCCTCTTTAGTTGTCAGTTCCCAAAGAGTTGCTGCCTTTCCCAATCATGGTGACCTCATGCACAATGGAACCAAAAGCTGCCACTAAACTGTTATGAGACATAGAGTTTTCATTGGTTGATTTTTGGAAGCTCATCTCCATGACTTTCTTCCTATTCCTTCTTAGCCTGAAAGTTCTATTGAAACTTGTTCAGCATCATAGCAACACACAAGACATCACCGATGGACAGGTAGTGGCTGCCCTAGAGGTACATTGACCAGATTCAACCTTGGGTCTCCAACATGGTCAAAGTCAAGAATTTCATCACAGAACCACCCCTGCCCTTTCCACATAGTCTTTTTTTTTCCTGAAATATTTCCACTCACCCTCAGGTCTGAAGATATTAACTCATCCAAAAAATTTCCTCTCACTACCCCTCTCTGATTGATATGTTTCTCTCCTTTACTCCCATACCCACAGTTGCTTCTGTCTCTCAGACTGGTGTTTGTCCTTTTGCTTATCTGCACCTACTAGTTGTTGTTGTTATGTGCAACTAGTAGACCCCAAGAACTGCACAGACAGGGGTTACACAGGTGTAGTCCAGCCATGTTCAGAACATTATATATCTTTAAATGTGTTCAATACACAACAATACCTTTTTCTTAAATTTCCTTTGGCTTCTGGATGGTAGGAGCTCAGCTTCTCACTCTTTCATGTGATGTTCCCCTCTATGGTTCCCTGACCCCCTTCAATATCATCCTGCATCTCCCAATGTGCTTCTGTTGTTTTACAGGAGAAGGAGTCTGCTTTCAGGCCAAACCATGCATCACACAGTTTCCCTAAAATTGGGCCTGGATTTGGCCACCCATCAATGGCATAAAACTGAGAGTCAAGGCTCAGCAGAAATCATTTTCATTTTGTAACTCTCCGACAACTGGCTTAGTGGCCTTGAGCACATTATGCCCAGCAAGCTGAGGTGAAGTTGTCTCTGGCTCCATCAGGCTATCTCTTGGCCTGCTCCCATCACAATTTTGCTCTAAAGACTCTAAAAATGCTTTTTGACTAAAACATTAGTTAAGTTTTACTTCTACTTCTTTCTGTAGGTTCTAACTTGTGGCCTAATCCTTTGGCGTAAGTGTGAAGATATTACTTATCTTTGTACTTACATGGCTTTTCACATAGCTAATTATCAATGTCTGAGATTAAAGGGACATGAGACCAATATGTGCCCTTGGTAACTGATTGTGTAGCTACTGAGCACATGAAATGAATGAAAATCAGGCATCTGGCTCTTCAAAGTACACATGGAGAAAAAGGTAAAAACTTTTGCTTTGCCATAAACTGAGAACCAGGAGAGAGGGAGCCAGGATGTGATGGCATCTTGGTTGCACAGGAAGGAGGACCAGAAGAGGCAAACAATTGGTCAGTGAATAAAGAAACTGTGAAAGACATTTGATTGACCTAAGGAAGAAGCAGAGGAAACTGGAAGGTGCTGAGAACATATTTCTGAATGGTTCAGTTGAGAGGTAGTTGGCTGGAAATGGGTGAGCACAGAAAGAAGAACCCAGGACTTACCCTTGATGGCAAGGCTGACCACCTTACTGTGCTGGGCCCACAGTTGTTCATTTTCAGCAGAGCAGTGGTAGTTCCCAGAATGTTCTGAAGTCACAGAGAGGCGGAAGACAGCTTGTCTCATCCTTAAGACATATATCTTACCCAGGATGGCATTCCCATGATACAACCGGTACAGGATGGGGAGAGAGCCCCTCTGGGCTTCACAGTAAAATGTCACTTTGTCTCCCTCAAAAATCTTGGTCTCTGGACTGCTGAGGGTGAAGAGTGGCTGAGACACAGGGACTAAGAAAGATAATAATAATAATACTTGCTTCTACTTCTTACTGTAGGCTTCAATCAGTGGCCAGAGGAAAGTCAGTCTCCAGTCCCGACTAGTACCTCAGTGTGGCCTGTTGTTGTTGTTGTTGTTATGTGCCGTCGAGTCAGACTCAACTCATAGCGACCTCTCGCTGGGTTTCTGAGGCAGTATCACTACGGAAGTAGACTGCCCCATCTTCCTTCTGAGGAGTGGCTGGAGGATTTGAACACCAGCCTTCTGGTTAGCAGTTAAGTGTCTTAGGCACTATGCTACCAGAGCTCCTGTGTGGCCTAGGACCCTACAACTCTCTGCCTTGTTGTCCATGCTGGTGATTCTGTGTTTTCCTCTCATGTCAGCCTCTGAACCCTCCTTCTCTCCCATGTCTCCTTGTCAGATGACCTCACCCCTTGTTTCTCAGAGAAAATGAAGCCATCAGAGATTCCTCCATTTATCCTGCTGCCACTGGACCCACAACCTTACCTGCATCAGCACCTTCCTCTTTGTTACTGACCTGTGTCTGTGGAAGAACTTCTCTTCCCTCTTCCACAAGTTAAATTCAGTAGGTAGGTCTTAGTTCTCCTCTATCATCATCTCTCAGCTCTGCCTTATCTAAATTGGTCCACTATTTTTTTGCTGAAAACACCCTCTGTCCCCCTTTCTGTGGTACACATTCTCCTTGTTTCTTGTCTTCTGTCAGACACTATCCTTTGAAGTATCATTCTGTCTCAGCTTGAAGACAGGCTTTGTGGTCCTAACTGGACACTCTTTTCCTGTCCCTTCTTCTCTGCTCCTAGCTGCTATCCACACTGGCTCTTCTACAATCTGTTCTTTACTCTACAGGTCAAGTGAGCTTCTCCAACATTAAAGCTTTTCATGCACCACAGTTACCCTTTGGAATAAAGCCAAAACCCTGATTAGTGCTTCCAAAGCCTGTGTATCCTGGCCCTGCCACTCTCCCCAACCTCATCCCTACCTGTCTCAACCATTTCACCGTATGCTTCTATCAACATGAATTGACTTCCTTCCTGAACATGTCCTCTTTCCTCAACTACAAGATTATAGTACATGCTTCTCCATGGAAACAGCTTTTTCTCCCCCTCCCACTTCTTGTTGTTAGCTGTGATAGAGTGATTCCGTTGCATCCCCCCAACTCATGGTGACCTTATTCACAATGGAATGAAATGCTGCTCTCCTTGTGCCATCAGATTGTTGGGAGACATAGGGTTTTTATTGACTTATTTTTGGAAGCATATCTTCATTCCTTTCTTACTATTCCATCCTAGTCTGACAATTCTACTGAAACTTGCTCAGTGTCATAGCAACACACAAGACGTCACTGATGGACAGAGAGTGGCTGTCCATCAGGTATATGAGTGAGATTAAAACTCATGTCTTCCACATGGCTGAGGTTAACAACTCTACCATTAATCTACAACTGCCCCCTCCCATATAGTCTTCCTTTCCCTGAAATATTCCCATGCACCCTTAGGTCCCAACTCACACATTAACTCTTCCAAGAAATTTCTTCTTACCACCCCACTCTGACTGGGGTGTTCTCCCATTTGCTCCCACAGCCACGAGTGCTTCTATCCCTCAGATTGGTATTTGCCCTTTTACACATCTGCATCTACTGGCAGACTTCTAGAAGTGCACAGACAGGGGCTTCACAAGTCTAGTCTTACGTGTCATTAGACCATAGTACAATTTGGCTTATGGTGTATACACAATAATCATCATTTGGTGAACAAATGAGCCATTGTATAGAAATTTATACACCTCTAAAAAATAAGGAGCTCTGGTGGCATAGTGAATAAGGCATTTTTGGCTGCTAAGCAGAAGGTCAGTAGTTCATACCCATCAACAGCTCCATGAAAGGAAGATGGGGAGAATTACTTTCATAAAGATTTACAGGCTTGGAAACCCAGTGGGGGTCGTTATGAGTTGGAATCAACTCGATGACAGTGAGTTTGGTTTTGGTTTGGAAATGTGTTCAATAACACTGATATAATTTTCTTGGGCCTCTGGATACTAGGAATTCAACTTCTTACTCTTTAATTTGATGTCCCCTCTAGAATTCTCTTATACTTCCCGTAATCATGCACATCTGTTGGGGGAGTTGTGGGAAAGGCTGGCTTCTGGCTTGTCTCTCAGTGTGCTTTTATTGTTTCACAGAAGAGGAACTGAAGCTGCTTTCAGGCCCAGCCCTATATCACACTGTCTTCCTAAAATTGGGCCTGGATTTGGCCACCCATGGATGACACAAAGCTGAGAGTCAAGGCTCAATAAAAATCATTTCCATTTTTAATTATTGGGTAAGTGACTTAATGGCCTTGCAGATATTATGCTCAGTAAGCAGATGTGAAGTACTTTCTGGCTGCCTCAGACTACCTCCTGCCCTGCTTCCAGGCTCTTCTCCAACTGTGCCTCCCCTCACACTGTTGCTTTAAAGACTCTAAAATTGCTTTTTGACTAAAAATATCAGTCAACTTCTGCTTCCGCTTCTTACTGTGGATCCAACTAATAGCCTAATCCTTTGGAGTAAATGTGATGTTAATACCTATCTTTGCACTTACATGGCTTTCCATACAGCCAAGAACAACAAAATTATCAATGTGTGATATTTAAGGGACAGGAGGCCCTTCTGTGCCCCTGGGAACTGATTGTGAGCAATGACATGTATGAATATCAGCATCTAGAGATTCAGAGGACAAGAAAAGAAAAAGAAAAAAAGTTTTTTTGTTTTTTTTTTTCCCAAAAAACATGGGCAGCATAGGAGATGGAGCTGCTATGCAGACAGCCAGGGTGTGATGGCACCTTGACTGCATAAGGAAAAAAGCCCAAAGGACACAAACAGTTGGTCAGTACATGAGGAAGCTATGAAAGGCATTGGATTGACACAAGAAAGAAGCAGAGGAAACTGGAAGGTGTGAACACACTTCTGACAGGATGAATGTGAGAGGTTACTGGCTAGAGATGAGTGATGGAAAGAAGAACCCAGAACTTACCCTTGACATCAAGGCTGAGTGCCCTACTGAGCTGAGTCCCCAGTCCATTTTCAGCAGAGCAGTAGTATTTCCCAGAATGTCCTGAGGTCAGAGGGAGGCTGAAGGAAACTGTTCTGCTTGAAAAGACTTTTGTCTTATTCAGGATAATATTTTCATGATACAACTGGTACAGGATGGGAAGAGAGCCCTTCTGGGCTTCACAGTAAAATGTCACTATGTCTCCCTCAAAAACCTTGGTCTCAGATGGCCTGCGGGTGAGGATAGGCTGAGATAAGGGGACTACGGAAGAAAGGAAGAAAAAACATTGGTCAACAGTTGGTTCTGCTTCTTGCTGTAGGTTTCAAACAGTGACCAGTGCAAAGTTAGTCTCCTTTCCCCACTAGTCCCTCAGAGTGTCCTAGGACCCTTCAGCTCTCTGTTCTGTTGTCAGTGCTGGCCATTTTCCCACTTCCTTTCCAATCAGACCTCTGAACCCTCCTCCTCTCTTATGTCCCCATGTTAGATGACTTTATCTCCCTGTTTCTCAGAGAAAATGAAGTGCACAGAGAAGGATCTCCTTGTCTTACTACCACCAGATCCACAACCTTACCTGCATCAGCTCTTTTCTCTTTACCTCTTACCTGTGACCATGGAAGGGCTTTCTCTCCTCTTGCCTAAGTCCTTCTGAGTCTTTTTGCTAGTCTTATTTCTCATTTCTCCCTTCACTGGGTTTGGCCTCAGGGCTCTGCCCTTGATCGTTTTCTGTTTCTGACTCACACACTAATCCAGGGCCTTCTCCTATGCTTCTACACTCTCCCTACTTCTAATCTCTCTAATTACAGTTGAGAAAACTGGGCCAGAGATGGACTATGGCTACTTAGTCTGCTAAAGGCTGTATCCAGGACTAAAAAAACTCTGGAAGTGTAGTGCCTAAGGTGCTTGACTGCTAACCAGGAGGCTGGTTGGTTCAAACCCACCAGCCACTCCTCCGAAGGAAGATGGGGCAATCTACTTCCGTAGTGATACTGCCTCAGAAATCCAAGGAGGGGTCGCTATGAGTCAGTCTGACTCGACGGCACATAACAACAACAACATCCAGGACCAATCTAGACCTGAGTCTCTCTCCTCACTCCTGGTCCAATGATGAATTGTTATCACCCTAACAGTGATCCTGATGTTTTTCATGAATGAAGGGGATGGCACCAAGCAAGGATTCAGGACTTTACACAACTATTTCTCCTTGACTACCACAATTATAACAGCTTTGAGAGAAAGAAGGCATTGGATACTGGTGAAGGAGGTGATGTTGGCTTAGTTTCCACCACTCCAACAATTACATCTTTGGAGTATGATATGATAGTGCTACCTCTGTCTGTGTCCTACATGGATTTGCATTCTGCTTACTGCCAAGAATTAGCTATTAATTGAGACATAGATACCTCTGTATCACTGGGAAAGGTATTTTGGTGGCTACTGAGAACAGTGGATTGTTTAGGAGCTCAAGTGTCTGAGGGTCTAAAGACAAAAGAGAAGAAAATGGGGACAAAAAAAGAGAGACAGAGAGCAAGATGTGAAGAAACATCAGAGGTGTAGTGGTATCTGGTTTGGTCAAGGAAGGAAGTCTACAAGAAGCAGATGTTTGTTTTGTGAACTGATGGGTCTAGAGAGACATTAGGATGGCTTGGAGACAGAGCAGAAAGCGGTAATAGGGTAAATGTGTAACCAGGAATGACGGGGCTTTTGTTTATTGACAGGATGAGCAAGAACTGAGTATTATCTTAGCCAAGTAATGCTGAACTCTGTAATTTCTCTTCAACAGAGATTGGTGATCTGCACTGAATTTGGATTCACCCTTCCTCAATCAGAAAACTGTGAAACCCAGGTGATGAGTTCCTTTCTAATGTTCAAGAAGATTTCCTATGGAGCAGGTCAAATTTAATCAGAGGAAGCACTTGGGCAATCACTGGCCACCATGCTTGAGTACCTATACAGTTTTAGAGACTCTGGTAAAAGCGATAGTGGATACAACACCATTCCTAGTAACATCAAGTTGAAATCTAGCTTATTCCCAAAGCTTTGCCCTGTAGTTCTTTTTTCTTTTTTTTTTTTTAGATGCTCTGCTCTAGATATCTAGCATTCTAGGACTCTGTCCATCTGACTGAGCAGAGTCCATTCAACCCAATCAGAGGGGCTTGGGTCTTTGTTATAGCCCACAGCTTATGCCTACAGGCCTAGTAGAAATATATTGTGTCAGGAAAGAAAGCCTTCAGAAGGAAACGAAAGAGCTGCATCTGAATGCATTGAAAGGAAAAAAATAAATCCTGTTTCTCTTTTCTTGGACTTTGTGGTTGTAAGAATTTTTGAGATGCCCGTAAGAGTTGAGGTCTCTTCTCTAGTACATCTCTCATTCATACATGCAGGAACCAATGGCCCAAGTCCATGTCCAGCTCTGCCCACTATTCCCTGCCCCAGACCCAGCAAACCTCAGAACTCACAGACACTCACTTTGTACAGGTATCTGCACACTCTGGCTCTGTTTCCACTTGTTGGAAGTCACTGTCTTTACAGTGCAGGAGTAATACCCTGTGCTCCATATAGCTTTGATCCGGTATTCTGGGGAATAGCTCCAGCCGTATCCCAGGGTTTTGTTATCTCGAAGGAAGCGGAACTGGATCTGGGTGTCTGACCTTTGTGGAGGGAGCTGTATCTCACAGGTCAGGATGACTGGGCTCCCTTGAGTGGGTTGGGAGGGTCTGGTTATCAGCACAGGAGGTGGAAATGATTCTAAAGAGAAGGATTACAACAGCCCCCAGCAGTGAGACCCGGAACTGCTCTGGAGAAACACACAACGCATTAAAACACCAACAAACAGAACATACAGGAACAGGCAAAGAGAAGGAGACATTTATTCTTAAAATCTTTTGGTCTAAAGCAATGTTGCACTCTGTCTGTTCCCTGTAGGAATGAGCACTGTGGTTCCATGATATTCCAGTCAACCCTTCTCTTCTTGTTCCACTTCTCCAACCCCAGGGACTCTCTATGGCTAACCCATTACACAAAACAATGAAGACTTTACCTTCAACTTGGATTTTAACTGTGTTTGAAGAAATGAAATCTTCAGATTTCTTAATTCCTTTACAGAAATATTCACCATTGTTCTTTAGACTTGCTTGATGAATGTGGAATTCTGAGTCATTTTTCAGGACTTTTCCATCCTTGTAAATTGTCAGACTATTTGGTATCACATCCTTGTTTCCCCGGCATCTCAGAACCACGGGCTCGCCTTGAAACACAGAGACTGGAACCTGCAGGATTAGTGGTGCTGTAGGAAATACAAGACCAGTTATTTGGTCCATCCTGTTGTTTCTCCCATTTTTTCACGATTATTCCAAGTATAGTCCATAAGAGTTGGAAGTAGGAAAAATGATTCTTAAAGTAATTATTATTTTTTCTTTTAAGATTTTAAAATGAACTCATGATTTTTATGATTTAAAATGAACTTAAGAAAATTTAGAAAACAGAATGTAAATAAACATCACCTATCAATTACCACCCAGATGTTTGCATACAGTTTTCCACTTTTACAGGTGTATGTGAAAATTTTCCATGTATGTGAAAGTCGGTCTGTACTCTTTTCTTTTTATAGAATTGGGATATGGTTTACATATTTGATATTTTCACTTACTATATTATGAACACTTTCCTATGTCATTAACATCATTACTGAACCTGGTTTTAATAGCTACAAATTTTTCATTCAATGACAATAACATAATTTATTTTATGAGTCTTATTTTCTTGACCATTTGTGGTTTTCAATATTTTTTGTGTGTATATCTATGATTGTTTCAGTAGGTAAATTCTTAAAGGAGATTGTCAGGTCAAGGAGTGTGAGCATTATAAGGTTTTTGTTTGTTTATTTTTGATGTGTTGTCAAGTTGCCTTCTGGGTATACTCTTGATTTGGTATTCATCTGTTTAACTAGAACTCTCGAGTTCTTTTTGTTACCCACCAGATTCGGAATTCTGATCTGACCTCTTTTTCTTCTGGAATGGAATTCTCTCAATCTTACTTCTTTAAATAAATTGTTCACATACCTACTGAAAAATATGAGGACAGGCTGGAAATATTATCCCAAAAAGAGACTATGATTAAACTTTTATAAATTGATGGAAGATATGGACAGAGTAACATTAGCTAACATTTATTAAGTACTTGACGTATGTAGGCATTACTTCATTGAGTGAATTCCCCATGAAACTCCCATAATGCAAGTGTTATTACTATGTCACTTACATATGGAGATAATGAGTTTCAGAGTCCTCAGATAACTTTGCCAAGATCAGTGTTAGTAACTGGTAGGAAGGTATTTGAATGTAGGCAATATGACTCCAGAGCCCAATTCATTGCTACTATGGTGCTTTCTTGTTAACCAAATCAAAGACCATTATAACTAGGAAGATACTACCTTAAATTAAAAATGGGTGATTTTAGGACAAAAAAGAAAATGCCTGTTCCTTTCTCTATCTCTTTATATATAGATACATCTATATATCTTCCTGGGAGCTCTGGTAGCATAGTGCCTAAGGCACTGGACTGCTAACCAGAAGGTTGGCGGTTCAAACCCACCAATCACTCCTCGGAAGGAAGATGGGGCAATCTACTTCCTCAGAAGTGATACTGCCTCGGAAACCCAAGGAGGGGTCGCTATGAGTCGGGTCCGACTCAACGGCACATAACAACAACAACAACATATATCTTCCTAGTTGTAATGCTCTTCAATTTGGTGAACAAGAAAGCAGAGAGAGAGTGAGAGAGAGAGTGTGTGTATATATATATAAATATTTATATCCCTAGGTGGCACAAATGGTTTACACTCAACTACTAACAAAAAGTTAGCAGTTTGAAGCCAGATAATGACACTATGAAACAAAGGCCTAGAGATTTACTTCTATAAAGATTATAGTAAAAAAAATCCCATGGAGCAGTTCTATTTTCTAATACATGGAGTCACCATGAATGGAATCAACTGAAAGGTAATATTTTACATATATAAAAAAATACAAATGTACTGTGTATACACACACACACACACACACACACACATATATATATATATAATATGGAGAGAGAGATAATATAAATATAAAAAGAAATCTCATGTTACTTATCATTCCAAGACAATTTTGTATGCTTGAAGTTATACAAAGACTCAGGAATGGTTTAAATTATTTCTCAAATTTCCTTTTATCTGAGCAGCATGTTAAAACAAAACAAAAAAAAAACAAAACAAAACAAAACAAAAATTCCTGGCCTTTTTCTTATAGATTTTGATTCCATAAATATAGGGTAGATCCTGGATATCTGTATGTTTATAAGCTGCCCAGGCTATTTCTGATTCAAATGAAAATTTAAGAATACAGGTTAAGAAACATTAGTCTGTTCAGTTAAAAATAACAGTGTTTGCAGGGTTCACTGATAACCTTTAGCTCTTATGCATGACAAATATGTCCTTCACGATATGGCTATTTGGCCTCACTGCCCATTGAACAGAATGAACTATGAGTGATTCAAACAATTAAGAATTTCTTAATATTTATATTTAAAATTAAGAAGCAAATTATATTCCCATCTGGTCATATACAAAGAGCTTTTTAATGTTCTCCTCGCCTGTCTAACTGTAATGTGGAGCAAAATTATTCCTCACAGGTTGTGCAAAGTAAATGGTACCAGTTAGAGAAAAAGATGGACCAAAATGATTTCTAAAGTTTTTATTTTTTGCACTTCTTTCTCACCTGATGAAAATTGCAAGTGCACAGGCTTACTGGAGGGTGAGTCCTGGATCTGGCATCTGTATTCTCCAGAATCATGAGCCTCAAAATTTTTTCCTGTGGTTTCTGTCTTAATGCTCCCATGGTACCATGTTATTTTCCTTGATGAGTCAATTCCATTGCAAGTCAGAAGCACTGTCTCTCCTTGGAAGGCTAGGGTCCATGGAGGCTGGAGAGAAATTACAGGCTTGGAAGTAGTTGCTGAGGAGAAGAGAAGAGTGTGAAGTGGAGGTGCTGCAGTACCAGTAAGATGATTCGTGTTGGATAGACTGAAGAAGCCTGGTTGGAGAACCCTAAGAAGTCCCGAAGGGAGGGTCACTGGTTGCTCAAGGCTGTGTGTCAGTCAACACTCTCCATACCCTGGGAGAGAATGATTGCTCAAGAGATGGCAATGAACAAAAAGTTGTCATGAGAGAGCATCACCAGCATGATTCACTGTCAAATGTCAATGGGTAAAATTTTTTACTTAGCCTGTTATGAAATTGGATCCTAGAGAACATTATGCCCTGCCCCTGGTCCTTCATCATGCTCAGAAACTCATAAGAACTTTCCAAGGAGTCATTAAAATGACAATTTTGCACTTTTCCTAAAAGGATAAATCCTATGATCATAAGATTTTGGCACTGAGAATATCTTGAAAGATTAATTTATCCAACACTTTCATTTTAGAAATTATGAGCCAAATGCCTAGAACAATCACATCACTTTGCACAGTCATACAGCTAACAAGTCATTTGCTGGAATCCAGAGGTGACCTAGACAAGGATGAAACCCTAGGGCAGCTGATTTTGGACAAGGATAGGGGTTACAGAGAGTTCTTGTCATTCATGATTTCTCAAATATCTAAGACATTCTCTGACCCAGAAGAATGGCAATAAGAGTCAGAACTAAGAAAATGTGTGATTCAGACACTTTACTCCCTCAATCTCCCATTTTTGGACATTTCTTCCTTGTTAGGACCCAGCTGTTGAACACTCTGATACTTTATCCATTTAGTGTCTTCTTTTGAAAACCTTTTCTTGGAAAAAGAGCTAAACAATGAAACAACACAAAACCCCTCTCACTTATTTCATGGTGTAAATGATGTTAAGGTTGAAATTGATGACCACTGGAGGCCATTTCTTTGTATCTGGAGATAGATTTACAACACCAGTAAACTGGTGTCTAATTGGCATTCTCTGATTGCAGAATTTCTTGGACTGGTCTGCAGAGACTCAGGACCAGGGTCTATTTGGCCCATGAGAATGTCTTTACTTTTATGTTTTCATTTTGATTAAAAAACAAAACAAAACTCATTGCAGTCAAGTCGATCCCAACTCATAGCGACCCCTCCTTGGGTTTCCAAGGAGGGTTTCTCTACAGAAGTAGAGAAGGGATTCAGTATAGTAGTAGAGAAAGGTTTCTCTACAGAAGTAGAGTTTCAAGGGTAGCGTTCCACGGGTTTCTCTACGGAAGTAGATTGCCCAGCCTTCCTTCCTAGGAGTGGCTGGTGGGTTTGAACCACCAAACTTCTGGTTAGCAGTCAAATGCCTTAGGCACTAAATTTTGATTATAATGTAAAAATATAATTTTACCACTGTAAAGAAATACTTTTATTTTCTGCATGAATAACAAAAATATTTTGAGACAATACTTCTCAAGCTGGCATCTGTGGCAGTCAATTACAATGGTTTATGGTGCTTTCAAGTGGTTGACTCTGCAGCCAGACTGACCCATGCTCAATTCTGCCAGCCTATTAACTGAGTGGAGTGAGGAGTCAGCCACAGGGATCCACATGAGGTGAGGGAACCCAGGCCACACCCCAAAGTGGCAAGGCAGGAAAGTGGGAGAAAGGAGAGTAAAAGGCCAGGGGGACCGGGACAGAGTGAGGAGTCAGCTGCAGGGATCAGGTAAGGGGAGATTGGAGAGGTTTCCAATGGCTAAGGGAGACAAACTTGTCTGTAGGTTTGTCTTACTGTGGTGATGTGTTCCTGTGAGTCTTGAGGCTGGGCCATTGGTGTTTCAAACCCAGCGGGGTGCACATGGTACACAGGTATCAGCTCGGCTTGCAGACTGAGACAGACTAGGAAGAAGGAAGAGCCCATCCACTTCTCAAAGAATTGGCCAGGTTATAGATATCTATAGAGCACTTCACCCAACAGCAGCACAATATACATTCTTCTCCAGTGCACATG